AACCAAAATAGATAAAAAATAACAACAATAACAACCACATCACATAACAACAAAAATAACCAAAATAGACAAAAAATAACAACAATAACAACCACCCCATTATCTTAACAGGTTGATTGACATGACGCAGGAAATTGGCTTCGTCGACACCATCGAAGGAAAATTGGACTACGAAAAGCACCCCATCGGCTCGCTTCTCTACGTCATCCCGTGGCACGTAAGTCTCCTAAAAATAAATAAATAAATAAATAAATAAAAAGTAAATAAAAATATATATGATAGTATAATAAGTAAAATATAAATGAAGAAAGTGGCACGTAAGTCTCCTAAAAGGGGTTTTGTACGGTGAGCTTTAAAAAACAAAACAAAAAAATAGCAAAAAATAAATATATATATGTATATATGTATATATATATGTGTGTGTATATATATATATATATATATATATATATATATATGTATATATGTAAATATATATATATGTGTGTATATATATATATGTATGTATATATATAGAATAAAGAAATAAATATTAATAAGTAAAATGAATAAAGAAAGTGGCACGTAAGTGTCCTAAAAATGGTTTTGTACGGTGAGCTTAAAAGAAACAAGAAACAGAAAAGAAGAAAAAAAATATATATATATTAGAAAAATAAATAGTAATAAGTTAAATGAATGAATGAGGTGGCACGTAAAATGATAATATGTAAAATAAGTAAAGAAAGTGGCACGTAAGTCTTCTAAAAGGGGCTTTGTAGGGTGATCTTTAAAATAATAATGATAATAATAACAATAATAATAATAATGAGTAAAATTAATAAAGATAGTAGTACGCAAGTCTTCTAAAAGGTGTTTTGTAGGGTGAGCTTTAGCAAAAAATAATAATGACAAGTAAAAGAAAGAAAGTAAATAGATGATAATAAATGAATAGATAAATGAATAAATGGTGTTGATTTTTTTTCGGATTTTAGTTTCGTTTGGTGATGGTGATGATGATAATGATGATTACTGGAGTTGTTATTTTTGCTATTACTTATTATTGATGTCATTATTGGTGTTATTCTTAGTATTATTTCTATTGTTATTTTTGTCATGTTCTTTTTTGGTATGGCTACTGTTATTATTCTCATTTTTGTTATTTGTATTACTCCTGCTGTTGTTATTATCATGATCATCATTATCACTATCATTATTATTGTTGTTATATATATTATTTTTAATGGTAATAGTAATAATAATGATAATAATAGTAGTAATAATTATTATTATCATTATTATTATCAACATCACCATTATTAGTATCCTTTTCAGTATAACTATCACCATCATCATCATCACCACAGTAATAATAATCATAATAATGATAGTAATAATAATCATTATCAATATTATTATCAACATCACCATTATTAATACCATTTTTAGCATCACTATCACTATTACAATTACCATCATCATCATCATCATCATCACCATCAACACCACTATCATTATCCTTACGATCTCTTAATTAAAATTTTCCCCCCTTTTCTCCCCCCCCCCCCCCAGTCATGCGCAACGGCCGCCATGTATCCCTTTTACCACGTGATCCAAGATGGCGTCGTGATCGAGGAATGGAAACCAACTCGAGGATGGTAAACATTGATAAATTAGGCCTATTTGTTGTTGTTTTTTTTATATATATATTATTAATTTTTGTTTGAGGTAATTCTGATGATTCGTTATATGCAGTGAAGAATATTTTGATTCGTATATGTGTGTATATATGTATGGTATAGTATAACGGGTATGTTCGCAAATATTGTTTTTTGTATAACATTCATTAATCCTGTTATTTGGTGATATATATATATATGAACGAAAATGAATATACTTATATATTTTTTTTTGTTTGAATATTGATTTCTAAATTATGATTTCTTACTAATGTCTTTGTGTTCTAGGGTAACACGTCAGAATTTATTGATAAAGAAAATGGGTTTTCATTTTTATTATTTTTTCTAGGTCTAAAATATATATACATTTATTGATAAAGAAAATGGGTTATCATTTTTATTATTTTTTTTAGGTCTAAAATATATATACATTTATTGATAAAGAAAATGGGTTTTCTTTTTATTATTTTTTAGGTCTAAAATATATATACATTTATTGATAAAGAAAATGGGTTTTCTTTTTATTATTTTTTAGGTCTAAAATATATATACACATTTTTTTTTCTTTACAGTTTATTTGATTTTAATTTTTCAGAAGATTAGCAAAGAGAGAAAGAAAAAAATTCTGGTCTTTTATCCAAAATTATTATTTTTTTTTTCTATTGTCTCTCTTCTTGATTTTGAATTTACCAAAATTTCAACATCATTCTGTTGGTGTTTGTTATTCTTATATATATATTCTGTGCGTTTATTTTTTTTCTGGCATATGTTGGCGTATGTGTGTGCTTGTGGTATAAATGTTTCTAAGTTTCTTTTACATTTAATAAAGCGGGGAAAAGTGTTAA